AAATGCTCACACGTATAATACACAAATTCAAACCTGAGTATTGGTACATGGGTAATATCTGACCTTGTATGTAACTCTATACTTTTTATTTGTTTTTCAAATATAGTGTTAAGTGACTTCAAAAATAATATTTGTGAGCTATCAGTAGTGATCCCATCTAGACTTGGGCTGTCGTTCCTTGGAGACATTGAAATGCTGCTTCAGTGTCTTTCTTTTGTATTTAATATTGACAGGTCAAATGTCTTTAGGAATTCACGCATTTCTTCTAGATCCATTTCTTTTAGCTTTTTGAACAAGTATGTTATTCCTTAATGACAGTTTGTGTTTCATAGAAGTCTTTTTTAACAACTCCTTCTCACCTGTATTTTATTAGTTTTTACTAACACTTTTTAGTTCCCTTGTCCAGTCTTTGGTCAGTTTTTTTTCAATGAATAGAGTGATGGATTTCATGTAATGTTTTATATTCTGTTTTTTTTTTTTTTCTTTTCTATTGGTTATTTCTCACAACCTAATGCACTGTGTTTAGCCTCTTCATTCAGGAGAAAATCGAATTCAATTTCTTTATTATTCATTTTGTTTCACACTTATATTTAAGGTCATGATTTTTATCAACAAAACTTTTCTTCAAAGAAGAAATTTGTAGGATTTTGAAAATTCCCATCTTGGTTATAACAATGACCCAAAATTCATTCAATTGAAATTTGCTTAATAAACGATTGTTTCCACAGACTTTCATTTCTTTTCTAGTTTATTCATAATTTTCTTCCACTACTTCTTAAGAATAACATGATCATTTTTTATTTTTTCTGAATCAGCTGAATTCATTTAGCTTGCCAGTGATGGCACTCTCTGAGCCCATTTAGAGAATGCTGCATTAAGTGGGAGGGGATGGGAACTTTTAAAAGTTAAGTTCAAAAAGTTAAGTCCTTGGTACAATATTTACTCAAATACAAGCAGCCACATATTTGTTCCCGTAGGTGGGCAAGCAAGCAGTTCAATCAATTTTTAACATCATTTGTTTTAGATGATGCTGGCTTTGCAACCCATACTGTGATCTTTTCTAGAATAATTTCTATGCAATCTGAAATTTTTTCACTTTTACATTCTCTAAGTAACAGTCTGTGCATACCATTGAAACCCTATTCATCTATGAAATAATCCACTTCTTGAGGGATTTTTCCTCCAAAGTTTGGGACAATATATGTTCTTTTAGCTGGTCATTTATTCACCATAATTAATTCTAGGTTTCTGGATGTCATTGTCAGTAAAGTGTGTTTCTTGGGCAGAAGGGATACTTCAATCTGACTTTGAACCCATTCTTGACTCTATGTTTTAAGTGGTGACTTGAGGCTATTTAATATTATTTAGTATTATTGTGAAAGCACTTTTTATTCAATATGATTTTGCTGGTGGGAATAGTATTGAACTATATTAGTATTAATATTGGCCTTACTTTGTTTCCTGTGTTGCTTATGGGGGATTCCTTCTGGGACATGGTGTGTTCATCAATTATGTTTTACAATTGTATTCCAACTTCTGTTCCCATGAATAAGTGTCTTTCTCCTTGTGTGTATCCTTTTTGTTGCCATAAATTCTGAAGTGATGGCTGGCTTGCCATGAATTGGTTCATTTCTTCAAATGAACTTCTTTCTCCATCAGTTTTAAGAGATACATTTTCTGCAAGTCAATTTTAGTTAATATGTTCACTTTCAGGATGATGTATTATTTCATGCTGTTTTTGTTTTGACAAGGGATCTGATATTATTACAATTTTCCTGTCTTTGTAATGAGTTGGTAGTTTTCCCTTACAGGATTAAGTATTGATTTTTTTTTTATGCTTAGTATTTTTCTGATGTTGCCTTAGGCTTATATGTAGAGCTTTCTGTATACTTATTTCAACTTTCTAAATGACCCTTTTGTGACTGTACATCTGTGTATTTCTGCATTTTCACATATTTTCTAATTTATTCTTATTGAATAAATTTTCTCACCTTAATTTTGATTTCATCTCCCTCTTTTACTCCATAGATTTTTTGTTTTTGTTTATTTGAATGTTTCTCAATGTTGGAAATTGTATTCATGCATATTACATATTCCTTACGTATCTGTGTGTGATTGTCTCAGCCCTATTCTCCATATTGAAATGTTGTATTCTTTTTTCCATTGCCTGGAGAACTCAACTCTTAGAAGACATCAGAGCGTGTTTAATATAGAGAAACACTACAGATGTGAAGAATGTGATGGGCCCTTTACTTCGATGTCAAGTTTCAAATTACATCAGGGAAGTCATACTGGAGGGAAACCCCACAAATGTGAAGAATGTGGCAAGTCCTTTAGTGAATTGTCAACTCTTAGAAGACATCAGCGAATACATACTGGAAAGAAACCCTACAGATGTGAAGAATGTGGCAAATCCTTTAATCGAATGTCACATCTTAGAATACATCAGCGGATACATACTGGAGAGAAACCCTACAGATGTGAAGAATGTGGCAAGTCCTTTAGTGAATTGTCAACTCTTAGAAGACATCAGCGAATACATACTGGAGAGAAACCCTACAGATGTGAAGAATGTGGCAAGTCCTTTAGTGAAATGTCACAACTTAGAAGACATCAACGAATACATACTGGAGAGAAACCCTACAAATGTGAAGAATGTGACAAGTCCTTTATTCAAATATCACATCTTAGAAGACATCAGCAAATGCATACAGGAGAGAAACCCTACAGATGTAAAGAATGTGGGAAGTCTTTTAGTGAAATGTCAAGTCTTAGAGCACATCATCAAATACATACTAGACAGAAACCCTACAGGTGTGAAGAATGTGGCAAGTCCTTTAGTGAAATGTCAAAACTTAGAAGACATCAACGAATACATACTGGAGAGAAACCCTACAAATGTGATGAATGTGGAAAGTCCTTTATTCAAATGTCACATCTTAGAAGACATCAGCAAATACATACTGGAGAGAAATCCTTCAGATGTAAAGAATATGGGAAATCTTTTAGTGACATGTCAATTCTTAGAGTACATCAGCAAATGCATACATCAGAGAAACCCTACAGATGTGAAGAATGTGGCAAGTCTTTTAGTGACATGTCAATTCTTAGAGTACATCAGCGAATGCATACATCAGAGAAACCCTACAGATGTGAAGAATGTGGCAAGGCTTTTAATCGAATGTCAAGACTTAGAAGACATCAGGCAATTCATAATGGAGAGAAACCCTACAGATGTGAAGAATGTGGCAAGTCCTTTAGTCAAATGTCACATCTTAGAAGTCATCAGCAAATACATACTGGAGAGAAACCTTACAGATGTGAAGAATGTGGCAAGTCCTTTAGTCGAATGTCACATCTTAGGAGACATCAGCAAATACATACTGGAGAAAAACCCTACAGATGTGAAGAATGTGACAAGTCCTTTACAGTGAGCTCAACTTATAAGACACATAAGAGAATTCAGATTGGAGAGAATCCCTACAAATGTGAAGAATGTAAGAAGTCCTTTAAAAATATATCTCATGTTAGAGCACATCATGTAATTCATACTTGAGAGAAACCCTACAAATGTAAAGCATGTGACAAGTCCTTTAATTGTATGTCAGATTGAATGTTTCATCAGATAATTCATACTGGAAAGTAACGATTCTGATAAGATGAATGTGACAAACTGAGAGCTCTGCACATAGAAGACATCAGAGAATTCATACTGGAGAGAAACCTCACAAATCAAAAGGTTTTGAGAAGTTCATTGTATTTCAACTCCTAGAGAACATCAATGAAGTTACAATAAAGGGCGACAGTGCAACATAAGGAATGTGGCAATTCTTTTAATCATATGTCAAATAGTAGCATTTATCAAAAACTCATACTAAAGAGATAGTTTACAATTGCTCAGAATGTGGTACTTCCTTTACCTTGGACTCAATCCTTAGAATAAAAAGTAGAATCTGAACTAAAGATATCTCTAAAAGTCTTGAAAATATTGAAACATATTTATATATTACAAAACATCAATGTACAGAAGGAAAACTTAGAATTAAGTACAAAATTTCAAAATCTCCAATCAAAATTTATTTTTCATTCATGTATGTGAGAAACTAGCAACATAAAAAATGTGAGAAAGCATTCACTTTCCCATACAGTCATGTTGAATATCACAGAATCCTTACTTATAGAAAACCTACAGATAAAATCATGTCAGCTACCATTTACAAATGGCTCCCATCCTAGGAAACATCAGAGATTTCATAGTGAACAGGAGCCTCACAAATTTCAAAGATTAATACCCCATTATTTACTGTCAAGAAATACACAGTGTTAATAAAGCACCTAAGTATCAATGAATTGCCACATATTCTCTAAATAGCATGTGAATATGTGAAAATGTTTGCACATATATACAAGTTAGACAATCCTAAAGTGTATGAAGTAGCAGTATCTTAATTTGCATATGAAAAGGGAAAATATATATCCAAATATCTTTTTAAGTGGAAATTCCATAATAAAAAGGCCAGGACACATTATACTCACTGTAATATGATAGGCTAGAGTATTATAGAAAATACTTAAAAAATTTATGTCAATTACTTCTATATTTTCATCAAATTGTATATGGTATTTTGATAGAGGTAACTGGTTTAGTTAGAAACATTTGAAACCATAGGGTAATTTTACCTTAAACTAAATTTATATTTTCACTCGGCATGGTGGCTCATGGCCGTAATCCCAGGACTCGGGAGGCAGAGCCAGACAGATCTCTGTGAGTTCAATGCCAGGCTGGTGTACATTGTGAGTTTATGGTCACCTGGGACTGCAGGAAGACCCTGTCTCAACAACAACAACAACAAAAAACTCCAAATTCATATTTTCTATTTTATAATGGATATTATGAAAATTTATGGCAATTTTTGACACAGAGTAAAGGGATATATTTTCCTTCAAAGCATTAGCAATGCTTCATTAGTTCCAATTGTTCCTTGAAGAATTCATGGACAAGGAAAATAGGTCACAGTAGATTTTTTTTTTTATGAGTGGGAATACATTTTAGTGTGATGTATGTTTGGCATATTTCTACCATACAAAAAGAAAAGGAGGATCCTGAATATCATAAAGCAATCACTCCCAATGACTCACAGGTGAGAATAATCTGTAAAGTATACTTAGTGCTGAATAGCACAATAGAAAGAATGGTTAGATGTTTTCAATATTACTTGATGTGGTTAAAACAATAAACCAGAGAAAAATGAAAACTTATCTTACAAGATTTGTGATTTTAACATTTTACTATCCTATTACATTTTAGCCTAGGTCTTTGAAAATGGCAGATAATGATAAAAGTTGAAGACACTGATGCCTAAATTCCCAGCACTCAAGAGGCAGAGGCCGGTGGATCTCTGTGAGTTCAAGGTCAGCCTGATATACATAGTGAGTTCCAGGCCAGCTAGGGCTACAGGGAGACAGTGTATGCCAAGTCACAAGAGTATTGATGGAAAGAAAATAAAAGGTACTATGTAAGATATTATTATAAATTATTATAGTTGCACAAAAATGTAAATACACAAAAATGTATATTGATATATGTGTAGATAGAATCATATCTACAGGAAAATTAGTTGTGTTCCCAGTATTGTAGGTTTTTGAAGATGGTACACTATTTGTTAGTTTAATATGAAAGTAAATTCAGTCTGTCTTGCTTTCTAGGGATTATGTGATAATATGTTTCAATAGTAGCTACTTGAGAACTGATGAATCCATACATTATCAAGCATCATTAATATTAGTTCCAGTGTGAATTAATAATGCCTCATGCAAAATTCATGAATGACATGAAAACATTGATTTGCTTCATTTATTTAGTGCACTAAGAATGCACGTCAGTGTAAAGTAGCAGTGCTGGGCTTCAGGCCTCTGCTAATTCAAAACAGTCATTCCTGAATATTTGAAATGAACTATATTTTGATTAATAAAATGAATATATGCACATCCACAGAATTACTAATATTTTATTAAACTAAAATCTTAAATATTTTTGAACGTTATTAATAAAATTTTGTGTAGAAGTAAATTGAATAGAGATAATAATCATAAAACATAATTATTTACATGTTCATCCATGGCTATATAAAATTTTAGTGTTGCTGTTTGAAATTGGTGTGTAATGACATCCAAGTTGTCTATTAATTTAAAGAAATCCTGTTTCTTTGGATCTTTTAAATACATTTTGAATAAAATGCATTGAAATCATTTTGAAACTGTTTTAAACCTGCCTTTAAGTTGATTTTTTAATAAATCCAGCATGTGTTTAATGATGTCCTATGGAAATTCGTTGAAAAATATTATCTCCCTTCCAAATAAAAACTCACATATTTTTTTCAGCAGATGATAAGCGAAAGCTAATACAGGATAATCTTTCAAAATTGGGTAAGTCAATCGATTGGTTTTTCTCTGGGTTCTGTTCCATGAGGACTTATTCTCAAATAATTTACATATTCAATTTATTAGAGATTAAATGATGTTTTAGAGACATTATGATTAATATAATGGAGATTACCTGGCTTTGTCATTTTAGTCCTAATTTATGAATATTGATGTATTTAAAAATTGAGACTCTTTTTCTTTGCATCTACCCCCACCTCTTTTTGGGACAACTGAACACATGGATTTGGATTTTCCTTTACATTGAAAGAAAGGTGTAAACATGTGAGACTCTGGGTAAAGTTTAAGACTAAGTCAACGTAATGAAGTGCTTACATGTATGTGCACCTTCTATAATATGTAATGAAACAGATGACTACAGATAGAAATTCACAATCATTATGTGTGAGTGAAAGTCTTCTCTTGCAACACAATACCTGAAATATGAAGTAAAGTGATGAGGCTTTTTTAAGAATCATTGTTACAAAGTTTTGATACATATTTATTTGTTTCTATTGGTATGGCCTACAGAGAAAGAATATGTAGGAGTCTGGCAACCCTGTGGCGGGCAGACAATTCTCATCCTGAAGGAAGGAGACAGCAGTAGGAACAAAGATTGAGATAGAGATAGAGAAGGTCTTTCTGAGGGCTGAGGCAAAATATGTGCTTCCATGCTGTACATCAGTGGCCTTCTCTCTTCCAATCACGGCTGAATGGAGGAACAGCTATGAAGTCATGGTCATGATCCAAACATCTTTCCATAAATATTTTTCTGAATCCTGATGTCCAGAGCCCAAAAATTCAACACCTGAGACTCTGGGAGTTGATTTTGTAGCCATAATAAAATGTTCATGACTTACTAACAAAACAGTGGAAATCATGAAAGATTAGTTATGTGCTCTGCTCTACATGGAACACTATCTCAAATGTTCCATACCTCACACTCTGATTTTAGGTAGTGTTAGATGCCTAAGAGGCCCTAAGTGATTCAGCAGAGTACTTAAAAGTTCATGTCTCAATGTTTCTGAATCTCCCTATGTAAATTTATGTGACTTACTTGTATATTATACATGTGAGAAATTGTGCATATTTTACATTAGAAAATTGTGTTTTCCATGACAGTATTGGTGATTTTAAATGATTTCATGTAGCACAACAGTGCTTAGGATTGAACTTGAAAATACAAACTACTCTATACAGAACATATTAATGTAAACATTCTTTAAAAGACATGCTCAGTATGCTTATAAGTGAAAAAAAATCAAAATTTTCCTTAGTTTTCCTTTTTAAGGGATATCATGAAAATGTTGGGTTTTTATATGGCAATGCATTTGAATAATGATCTTTTCAATTCCCACCTCTCCATGGGTTTTCTTTCTTCCTTTTCACCCCTAGCTCCACAGGCATCAGGCCACTATTCTTTCTCTGCATTTATTTGTTTAGGTTTACAGCTATTTATAATCGCAGTTGCTCTTGAGTTCCTTGGAGTGTCCACTCACATTTTATGAATTCCACAATCTGAACATGTCCCTGACCTATCTTAAATCAGATTCAATGTTCCAGTCAATTAAGGAAGTTAGAGCCTTAGAAAAATGCCAATATATAACACCTGGTCACAGCGCTTTTCCTAAACACACATTGTATTAAACTCTGGGGACTGTATTTACATTGAGAGGATATAATAGGAATTGAAATCTCGTTAATATGCAGTTGTCCTGGAAAATATAGGGAATGTCCTGGGAAGGGGGAATGTGATACAGATAAAAGTGGTGTTTCGAGACTGTCTTCAGTTCCTGAAACGGAGAAATGAAACTCTGAGAGTGAAACTCAGGTATCACTAGGCAGTACTACTGAGCAGACCCAGGTGGAAGACTTAGGTTGTATTTTCCTGTTACTATTAGTCAGAAGACAAGATTCTTGTTTGAGGAGTACATATGGTCATAGCACTAGAGGTCATGTTACCAGAATACATATCGAGATTTTTTTTAAAAAAAGAAAAGGCTCTGAGGGACTGTCTTCACAAAATCAACCAAGCCTGTGCTGTGATCTCACACAAAAATGTAGTCCTATGAGCTGAACACAATGCATGCCTGAGTTAGGTTTTGATGTGCTATAGATAGTAAAACCCACAGTCACAGGGAGCGCTCTCCCTTCTGCTACTCCCAGGGACACATGCCCACAGCTCACAAGAGTTCTCTAACTTACGATTATCCCACTGGCCATCTGAGCATTGTCATTCTGGCTTTATAGCAGAACTTGAGGAGGTGCTCAAGGAACAGTTGGTCCCAGACAAATGTTTGACTAAATGTCCCACCCAGATTTTAATTTAAAAGTCTTGATCATGTCAATACATAGAAATTTAACAACCCTTACTAACCCTTTACTGAGACCTCAGGTATTCCAAATATATATATTTAGTTACAGTAACTGACACACATCTAAGATCAGATTTTGCTCTCCAGTTCAATATTGTTGATACAGAAATATAACATGTATCTCATGTGTAGATAGTGAGTTTTATTCTGATAGAAACAGGTATGATACAACATCAAGGTATTTGTGTGTCTGTGCTGTATTGACTAAGTAGCTAGGAGCACTGAGGTTGCTAGAATCATTTTTCAACCATGGTATAATTTCATTTTCTCCTTCCAGGGATTATTGCATTTATTTTCATATTGTCTGTGTGTAAAAAATCAGGGTTTGAAGAAATTTTAGTTGAATTGCTTTTACTAACACAAAATGTTGTGAGTAGCATATTTTATCCATGAACATCACTGTGCTTTCCTGTTTGCAACCATCACACACACTTGTCCTACATCTTACAAAATAGTGTCATTGTTACCTCTTTGTGCTCTGGAAATATATATATATATATAATGCATGTATATAAAATACGTATATATATATTTTGTATTTATATATGTATGTAGGAAGCAGGCGTGGTCGAGCCGGCCAAGATGGTGCCCTGGCTGGCTGCCAGGCCTCGTGCCCCTCACTTGTTTACTCCAACCTGCGCAAGCACAATAAGCCCGATCATGTGCTGCCTGCTTGATCAGAGACATCATCGAGTATGATCCTGCTACGTGGCCCAATAAGCTGCCACTCTGCCTGCCCGCTACGTGTGTGTGTGCCCTGATTGGTCCTGGCTGGGGGGAGGGCTGTTGGGAACGCTATATGAAGAGCTGAAGTGGGTAGTAAAGAGAGAGAGAGTGAGAAGAAGCCTGAACCTCACCTTGGTGTCTGTGTCGTCTTTCCTCGGCTCTGCTGGACGGAGTCGCGGTTTGCGGCATATGTATATATTTAACATACAATATATGCATTTATTTAAACAGAATATCTTCCAAAGTGTGAACATGAATTGATTTTAGAGCATTTAATATTGATATAATTTAATTTTTCATTTTTTCTTATATGATATGAGAAAATAGAAATGTGTAAGTATTGAATAAATTTTATATAGATGTACAAAAATGAGATTTGCCCAGGTAAACCAAACAAATGCGAATAGCTTATCTTGTACAACAGGTTGATTGATAAAAAGAAACTGGTTGATAACTGGAGCTAAAATTGCAGAAAAAGAGAGACTTCCAGAAGCCCAAGGAGTGAACACAGTTCTCCGCTCTCCACTTCAGACTCCACTGATCCATCACCGTCAGTTCTGGTTCCCAGGCCACTGCGGAAAAGGATGCAGCTCAGGAGGGAAAATGGTGACAGCAGCATGTCAGATGGAAGTTTGGCCAATGCCCTGGCGCTAAAGGAAGAGAATGGAAACCAGGAGGCAGGGCGGCCTTCAGGCCCTATACCTATACCGTGGAGTGATTGGGAAGTCGGGGTCTTTCTGCAGGAGTAGGAAATTGTTGAGTGTGAAGTCGCTCACCCAGGTACTGCTACAGTACAGTGACCACAGTTCAAGCCTGGTGGGCTTGGGGACCCCAATGGATATAGATTAAGACACCGGAGATGCAGAGGTTTAGATGCTAGTGCATGTTTATTGTGAATCAAACAGAGCTTATATAGGAACCAGATCAGGAGTAACCAAGAAGTAACCAAGGAATCACTAAGGATACATCACTAACAGAAAGTAACCAGGTAATAACCAAGGACACAGTACGTTACTACATTACCTCACCAGCTGAAACTCACATGAAGTTTATAGTATCCAAGATTCAGCTATGATTGCTCTTAGCAACTACTATAATTCACTAATGTTACATAGAAACCAAGCTATCGGTGCTGAGAGACCTCTGTGCCTATAAACTGAAACAGGACTCTAGTTATTTTTCTAAGATTGCCAATTAATCAGGGGAAGCATAGCCTGTCAACTCTGACCACAGATGCAGCAAGCAGGGAAGCTCTTATAGTGGCAGTCTTCTTTCTTCAGTCTTCTTTCTAAAATGCCTAAGTCAGGGCAAGCTGCCACAGTCTAGTAAAGCTCCCGACAAGGTACCATCTACAAGAAAGTTAAGCCATTTCCAAATGTCTCCATTGGGGAGGTATGACTAAGATGTTGAAAGGATGTCTCCACCTGCTGCAGAGCTTACTAGATCTGTACTGGATCATTTGTATTGAGAGGCAAAGGAGTAAACCCATGTTTTCTCCATATGGAGAGGCCCTGCACAGGATCCTGGGCTACAGTCATGGAATCAGCTACTTTCGAGGTCCACTCAGTGATGGCACTGGTGCTCTATCTCCCATGTACCCTGAGTCTCCAGAGTTCCTGCAATATCCTGGGTACCACCCAATTCCTGTGTACTCCATGGTGCAGGATCCTCTGGCATTCTAATGGCAGCTATGGAACATGACCACTCCATGGGTAGCTGCACACCTGCTTCCTGCCATGGTCCCAGAAGCCCCCAGCTACCAGCAGCCATACTCAGCCTCTTGTAACCAACCAGATCCTCAATGAGGGCCCTTTCTGGAACAGAATTGTGCAATTTTGTAACTAGTCATTCGTTGATCCACTTACTATGAGAATTAAGTATGGAATTAAGAAAAAAAA